AGACACCAGATAAACAGGAGGCTGGGCATGGTAGTGCACACATGTAGTTCCATCATTGGGAGGCTGAGGTAGAAGGATTGCCATGAATTCAAAGCCAGCCTGAACTATGTAGTGAGACCCTTTCTCAAAAAGACAAACTCAAAGCCAGGCATGGTGGCTCACGCCTATAATCCCAGCACTCAGGAGGCTGAGGCAGGAGGATCGCTGTGAGTTCGAGACCAGCCTGGGCTACATAGCGAGTTCCAGGTCAGTCGCAACTACATAGTGAAACCCTCTCTCAAAAAACAAAGGAAAAAAAAACAAAACAAACTCAAAACCAGATTAAGAGGCGATAAAAGTAGTAAATAGAATTGGGCTAAAAAATGTAAACATTTGTATATGAAAAGACATTGTCAGCAGATTTTAAAAAGTATTTATAAAGTGGGAGAAAATATTTGCAAGTGATGTTTCTAAGAAGAGATTCATTTCTAGAGTATATTGACAACTTAGACTCAACAATTTTAAAAAACTCAATTCAGAAATGAGCAAAGGAATTGAACAGATGTTTCTCCAAAGAAGATTCACAAATGGCCAATAAACATATGGAAGGATGTTCAACATTACTAATCATTAGGGACATGCAAATCAAAACTACTGTACAGTGAAGTGCTGGCATATAGCTCAGTGGTGGAATGCTGCCATGCACAGAGCCCTGAGTTCAAGCCATGGCACTGCAAAATAAAATGTACAGTGTAATACTACAGTGCTTCTATCTTAATGGGTGCTATCAAAAAAAAAGGCCCAAAAGATTAACAAGTGTTGGTGAGGATTTGGAGCAATTGAAACCCCTTTGAATTGTGGCAAAAATGTAAAAATCATACAACCACCATGAAAAACAGTATGGTGGTTTAAAAAAAAAAAATCACCACATAATCTAGTAATTCTTCAGGGCATGTACCCAAAGAATTGAAAGCGTAATTTGAGATATTTGTACACCTGTCCTCATTGCAGCATTATTCACAACAGTTAAAATAGAGAACCAACACAAGTATCCAACCAACAATAGATCCAGACTCCTGTATATAATTTTTGGTTTTCTGCTGTATACACATATATAATGTCCTATTTGATCATTGATCTCCTTTAGATTTCTTCACATTGAACAAGTTTTCATTTCTTTAGTATGTCTTGACTTCTAATAGTGATCTTTGGAAACCCTTTGTAATTTAAACTTTCTAATCAAACTGATGGATGATCACAGGTATCTTTGCTGTGATTTAAAATACAGCACTGCCGGGTGTGGCGGCGCATGCCTGTAATCCCAGCACTCGGGAGGCTGAGGCAGGAGAGTCACTGAGTTCGAGACCAGCCTGGGCTACATAGTGAGTTCCAGGTCAGTCTCAACTACATAGTGAGACCCTGTCTCAAAAAACCAAAAAAAAAAAAAAAAAAAAAAACCAACACTGGAGGCTCAAGATTATGCTCAGGG